TTCAATTTGGAGCGAACAAGCACCACACAAACAATGAGAGTTCAGTTTATTTCCTTCAACACCAAATTGGCAACACAAACAATGAGAGTTTATTTTCTTCAATTTGATGCGGTTGGTCCTGCACCAAGCCCAAGCCTTTAAGGCTTAATTTGTTCTCTCCTTTTCTACGGATTTGATGAGTTATGTCAGAGGTCCATGAAGGCAAGGCCATTGAAATCAAGTTGTCTAGAATAGGTCCTGCAATTGACCCTCTCTCTTCTTTGCGGATTCTTTCATCTTCGTTGCCTTGGACGAGTCTTTTTGGGAAGTCAAGCTTGAGTGGATGGAACAGGTGGAAAAATAAATAATGGAGGGGAATATCTCCCCAGAAGCAGCGTTATGACGCTTAGATCACCTCCAAGAGCTTTTCAAAGAAAATTGCCAATAGTTGGCGGTGGTAGTGGTATTTTCCAATCGAAGGCAGTGGAGGGTTTGCAGTTGAGAATTTTCCCAGGGCGTTTGGTTGGGGGTTAGGTGAAATTATTAAGGTAATGTGAGTTTATATTACTTTGTTATTATATTATATTACTTGATTATTATATTTGGTTATTAAGTAATATAAGATAACAGTAATATTTAAATACCAATAGTGGTTATTATTAATAATATTAGAGATAATCTGATTAACTTCATTTTCTTAGATATTTTAATATTATTAGGGTTATCTTTTTTTTGTTACAATTTTATCTCTTATTAATAAAAAATTTGGACAATAATACCCCTATTTTAAAACAAATTTACATTAACATCCTATTTCAATTTTACCCTTATTTAATTAAAATTTTGGATAATAATGCCCTTATATTTAAAATAATTTACAGACTACCATTGCCATCCAGTCACCACCACCACTGCCACCCAACCACCACCATCGACAACGGGTCAACCACCATGAGCCACTACCGGAAAATCACCGGAGTCCCCAAAAAAGAACAAGATTCAGTGGGAGACTCCGGGAGGCTTCGATATGGTCGTTTTCGGTCATATTGATGGCCGAAAACGGTCATATCAGGCCAGATCTGGCCGTTGACCATATCGAAGCCTCTTGGTCATGGTGACCTGCTGATGGGGACTTTCGGAGACTTCTGATGGTGGTCTGCGGTGGCGGTAGGAGGTGGTGGTGATTTCATAATAAATTAAAGTTTTATATAAGCGGAGTGTTTTAACTAAATCTGAAATATTGGGGGTTAAAAAATTATTCAAAAATTAATAATAAAAATAATATTATATTAATATTTAAAAGGGAGATAATTTAATAATTTAAATAATATACCCATTAATATATTTTTCATAACCAAACATATTAATATAATATACTTATCTATTAATCAAATATATTTTTTTAAAGATTTCTAGTAATCTTCTAGGATAATTTATTTTTTTAGTAATTTAATATTTCCAATAATCTAATATTTCTAACCAAATGCTTCGTTAGTGGGAATTAGGAATTGATTACTGGGAATTACTTTTGAACTAATTATTCTTTTAAATTAGTTTTAATTATATATAATTTTTTTAAATTGCTGGGACTAAACTGATGTGACAATTAATTGATTGATGTGATAGTTAATTAATGTAACATATGAGATGGCCTCTCCACTTAAGTTAGTGTGGGAGATTATTGTCCGATAGTGGTAGGGTTAGTATTAGTAAAAACTTTCGTACAGAATTGATATCTTATATGTGTCATGTGACATAAAAGTTCACGTGATATTAATATCACATTATATTATGTGATTTTTAATGTCATGTGTCATATTAATTTGTATAAATTCTTTTTATATCAAAGTTTGTACAAATAATATTATTCTAAAATTATATGCTTAAATGAATTTAAAAGAAAAAAAAGTTTACTACTACAATCAACTCTAATTAGTAATTAGTAACATGATTTGATTTATAGACCTCAAAACATGTCCGACCGATGATCAATGCATGATATTTGTGTTTCATACAAGTAGATGTCAATAGAGATGGGCCTAAGACGGGTTGGGGAATGAAGTCCTCGACCCCATCCTCGAGGGGATTACCCATACCTGCTCTAGTTGCGCTCCTACGGGGATGGAATGATCCCCATCCTCACCTCGCTCCACCCTAGAGGTTGGGGATTGTGGGTATTAATCCCCACAGGAAATTTTTCCGGTGTAATGGACTATTTCAAACTTTTATTTTATATTGATTATATTTAATTCTTTTGTGATAAACCATTAAATAAAGTAAAAAAAAAAAAATATATTATAACAATACACTAAATACTTTTTTAAAATTTAAGAAAAATTTGGTAAGGGGCATAAATCAAAATCTATTAGAAACAAAAGCAACAAATTAATAATTAATTTGTTGTAGACGGGTTGGGCTTTTCGGGGTGGGAGTGTGGGAGTGGGACAGCGCCCCGCCCTTCTCTTTTTCTCCCTTCCTTTTCTTCTTCAAATCTCCTTTTCCTTGGGGGTGGGGATTTTTTCCCTGCCCATCCTCACCCCATTACCCGAAAAATTTGGGGAATCCCCAACCCGATTGGGGCGAGACAAACACCCAAAAAAAAAAAAAGAAAAATTACAAATTTGGTTGTGTTGTGTATTCGAAAGAATAAGTGAGAATGTAGGATAAAAATGCATTTGAGACTTGAGAGGTTGAGAAACAATGTGACTAGAGATGGCAATGGGTCGAGCCAGGACCGGGAGGCCCTTTGCCCAAGCCCAACCTGACCCCCATGGCACAGGCCCGGGACCGTTACAGGCATGATGGGTAAAGCCCAAGCCAGGCCCGATGGGCTTTTTGTAATCCTATCTTGACCCATTTTTATAATTATAATTTTAGAAACAATTATTAAATAGTAATCTTAATAATTATTGTGAAATAAAATAAATTTCAATTCTTTTTTATATTTTTAATTTTAGAAACAGTTTTTAAATATTAATTTATTTTGAATACTCACCAAATATATAAATAACAATCCACCCTCATTTCTTTATATATAATTTCCCTTTATAAGGTATATATATGTAGGATAATTCTATAATTAGATATATATTATAAGGATAATTTAATAAAATTAATAGTAAAATTATCGGGCCGGGCTGGGCCAGGACTAAAGATTGTCCCATGCCTGGCTTATACTCGAGGGTGGGTTCTAAAATCAATCTCAGGCCCAAGCCCAAGCCTATTAACACCGGATAAAACTCGAATTTTTTGGGATAGATTGGGCCGAGTATCCAAAAATACCAGGCCCATTGCCATTTTTAACAACGTGTTTCATCTTCTTTTAAGTGGTTAATATTGATTTCATGAATCACATGTCTTGATTTTTTTCTCAAAAAAATCAAGGGAATATTTTACTGATCAAAGGTTAGACCCTAGTTGTTCTTAGGTATAGCAAAGTAGTAAAGAAAAGGATAATATTAATTACTTTTGTCCGTAAAAAATTTCTCTTGGGATTCTTGAAACATTGCGACTTTTGTGCAAAGGTGGCATTTTCTTACAAGTCTTTAAATAGAGTAAATGACTATCCCCACACAAATAATAACTTAATGACACTTTTTCATTCAAAAACTTTTAAAATACTATTTTATTATCTAAATTTAAATTCTAACAATGAATAAAGAGTAAACTCCATCCAAACTGTTAGGACTTTTAAAGAGAAAATATCGATGAGTCTTTTGATGGTAAAAGATTGAATTTTGGTGATTAGGATTTGTTGAAATTTGATTTGGGAGAGGCGGCTGTGCAAACCCTAATCACTCGATTACCAATGATTTGAGAGGTTGGCAGGAGTAGGGTTTAAGGGGTTTTCGTGAATGATGACCAGAGAAAAGAATGATGGTGGTGTGTGATCATAACGATGTTAGAATAAAAAAGGAAATATAAATTTGAGTAATAAAATATATTTTAAAAATCTGTAGGTAAGAAAGTGTCATTAAGCCATTATTTGGATAAAAAAAAGTCGTTTACTCTTAAATATATTCTATTAATCATATTGAAAGCAATATTGATATTCAATAAGAAACTGTTTAATTGATCATCATCATCTATAAAATAAAAGCTAGAAAAAAAAGAAGTTTTCAGTTTTTCCCAAATGATCAGCGTTATGATTTTAATAACTTAACATATGTTCTTATAGCATGTGGAATTATGGCACAAGTAGCACCCTTCTCATGTGCAAAAATTCAGCCAGATGCTCATCAACAGCACAGATTCATTTATCATTTTGCATAACCCACATGCACATGGGGTCCATCAAATTGTTTACATGATTTGGGCAATCTGAAATATCTACTGTAAAATTTTGGAATTCAGAATCATTCGTTTGAATTTGTGATAGGGTAATCGTGGTCCAGCTAGCAATTAATTATGAATTCTGGCACCCAAACCACAATTGACAAAGAATAGTGTCTCTGCATGTCGGCACCGCTTGCAGATGCAGAAGAAATTCAGAATGTTTTTGTAATTTAACTTGTGGGCGTGAAGGCACCTCTGCGGACTATGAAATTGATTGTGGAATATAACTTCTTCACGAAAACCAACTTTTACAGTTGAGAGTAATGAATTTCGATCACAATATCAGTTATTGGAAATTAACCCATCCCACTAACTAGCAAACCAGATAACTTGGCAATTTGGTGGATTTCCATATGTGTAGAGAGTGGGTTGATGGTATTTTTGTTAATTTTTAATATTTTATTATAAAAGTATTTGATAAATAAACCAACATAAAGGATGTTTTTATTAATTTTAAAAAATAAGATCTACACATATATGAAATATGAGTAAGCGATACTTTAAATAAGACTTTTTAGCTTGTAAGTTTCTAATTCCATCGTGATCACTGTGCTGTATGATGTATCTATGTTTATGTAATTGCCAACGTACAGCTGTCATACCTAATTTTTTTTGGTATGGAAATCTTAAACCTTTGAATCTTATAAAAAAATTAATAAACAAAAGCTATACCACTGAATATGAATACCTTACTGTCACAAGACTCTCTTCATAGATAAACCCTCAACTCAAGAAGATAAACCCAGTTCAAAACTTGCATTATTCAGCGTCCATCGAAATCCAAAATGGCAGATGAAACTACCTTATCATCTCCAACCATTGATCCCTACGAATACCTTCAGTTCTTCCCCAATCCCGACGGTACTGCCACTCGCAAAAGCAACGTACTCCTATCTAAGACCATATCCGATCTTGACCACGATCCTCGAGTTCTCTTCAAAGATGTCCCCATCGGCACTTCAAACAACACCTGGGCTCGCATATTCCTTCCCCGTCAAGTACTTGATTCTTCTTCCACCACCAAGCTTCCTCTCATAGTTTATTATCACGGCGGAGGTTTCATTCTCGGAAGCCTAGACGACAGACTTTTCCACGATTTTTGCTCAAACGTGGCGCTTGAATATCCTGCTGTAGTTGTCTCCGCCCAGTACAGGCTTGCCCCGGAGCACCGTCTTCCAGCCGCTTACGATGACTCCATGGAAGCATTGCACTGGATCAAAACTACCCAAGAAGAGTTGTTGAAAAAATATGCTGATTTCTCTTCATGTTTCTTAATGGGGCCTAGTGCAGGTGCAAACACAGCGTACCAGGTAGGACTGCGTGCAGCGGCACAAGTTGAAGACATACTGCCATTGAAGATCAAAGGGCTCATACTGCAGCACCTTTTCATTGGTGGGGTGAAGAGGACGGAGTCCGAGTTGAGGCTGATGAATAATCCAATTTTTCCAGTATGTGCTAGTGATTTAATGTGGGAATTCTCATTACCTCATGGCGCTGACCGTGATCATGAGTATTGCAATCTAACGGTGGGTGGTGGGTCAGATGTCTTAGATCAAATCAAGCAACTTGGATGGAAGGTATTGATCACAGCAACTACTGGGGACCCAATGATTGACCGTCAGGTTGAGATGGCGAGAATGATGGAACAAAGGGGAGTACAAGTGAAAAGTCATTACGATGAAGGAGGTTATCATGGAATTGACGTTATTGAGCCTGAAAAGCGTAAGGCTGTGCCTGTTATCATGAAAGAATTTGTGAATTCAGCCATGGCTTCTCAGTCAGTGAAGGATATTGTTGGTTAATTGGAGATTTTAGATTTGTCATGTTTTCTTTATGATAAAATAAAAAATTAATAGGTGTTGGAGTAACTTTTCCGAAACCTTTGAATATTCAATGGTTCAAAAGTCAAAGTAATATTGTGAGATCCAATAATGAGATTCCTGTCGTAATATCCTTTGTTAACCCTTATGGTATCCTGGCTCTGATAACATACGGGTTACTTAGACCTGGCAAAACGGGTGGGTGGACTGGATACGGTCCAGGTTATACGGGTACGGGTCATACGGGTGCGGGTCCTTATACGGGTTGATATATACGGGTCCAATATTTTAGACCCATGCCCTACCCTATACGGGTACGGGTGGACTCGTTTTTTCTCTCTCTAGGTTTCAATTTTTACGTTTCACCCCTAATAGTTTTCAATTATAACAATTACACCCCCAAAATTCTTGCAGTTATGAAAATTGTACAGAACATTGGAAATAATTCATTACAGAATTCTAAATTTGAACCATGGCTCCAATTTTGTAGCATATGCATAACACATTTATAGAATTCTACTTGTGAAAATAGGCAAACAGCTTCATTTCAAAACCATATTTACAGGGACAGCCGGACAACTATTATTCTAAAAACAGTGCCTGCAAATCTGCAATTCACTAACTCTAAGCACAAAAATCCTCATCATTTACTGTTCATACTTCATACAGACAGAGATTTCACGAATCAGCTAAACTATACAAATCTTGAAACCCAACTCACGGATCTTAAAAACAGATCTTGAAACCCAAACATCAAACAAGCTGCAGCTTTTCTGGAAGATACAATAAAAGCAGATCTTGAAACCCAGCTCACGGATCTTGAAAACAGATCTTGAAACCCAAACATCAAACAAGCTGCAGCTTTTCTGGAAGATACAATAAAAACAGATCTTGAAACCCAACTCACGGATCTACTACAATGGTGGGGAGAAGAGTCGCGAGTCTTGTGACGGAGAGAGAGAGGAGATGACGAGCCGACGCCTAAGTCCCGACGACGTGAGAGAGAGGAGATGACCAGAGTGAGGGCTACCGGCGATGGTGGTACTAGGAATGGGAATCATAGACTGGATGAGAGATTAAGAGTTTACAGAATGAATAAATAAGGTTCAGGTGAGGACCGTGAGGTATACTGATGATGAATGAGTGATGAGTGATGCAGTGATGAGAGATCGAGAGGCGAGACTGCGAGAAAGAATTGTTATGTTGAAGATGAAGATTTGCTTTAAAGTCTGAGTTAGGGACTTAGCCACTTTAGGGATTTGCAAGAACGGGTACCCGCAGGTGCCCGCGGGTTTACCCATATAACCCCTCAACTATACGGGTTGGGCCGGGTACGGGTAAAAACGAAACGGGTCTAATAAATTGGACCCATACCCTATATTTTCTACCCGGGTACGGACCGACCCACGGGTCTGGACCCATTTTGCCAGGTCTAGGGTTACTAGACCTTGGAGATACTATCAAAAGATTGTGGAGTTTCTGTATGTGGGAAACTATGATAGCCGACTTAAGTTAAACCAATCAAAGCAATGATCGGTCGAGATCATGGTCAAGACCCTTCTTTTACCCCACACACACTTACACCTACACAGTTTCTAACATCATCTAAAAGGGTTAGTGAAAATTAAATACACCAAGAACATAAATGAAGAACATATATATTAAACATGTCAAAAACGCAAATGAAGAACATGTATATTAAACATAAATGAAGAACATATATGGGATCTTTTTATACCCTTAACATTATCAAAATATTACAACACCCTTGAGGTTGAGGGAAAGTTAGAAGGATGAAAGAAACATGGAAGAACTATGGTAAAGATGTGTAAAGAAAATATGCAAGGGAGAAGTGAGAGATTGTTGATAAAAGAACAAAGCAAGAGAAATATACAAGAGTTTTTCACAATGCTCTTCCTCTCTCTACGAGAAGGTAAAGGCCTTTATTTATAGAGTAGAGTAATACATTGCATGCAAGACTCATAAATGAGTCATTTAATACATGACTAGACTTTTTGACTTTTTTTTTCATTTACTTGCCTACAATACTTGGCTTTTACAATTCATATGGAAGATATTACACTAAGTTGGCAAACTACCATTTAGTCCCTGACTATTTTACATAAATGACACAACTTTTATTTTAAGACACGCAGAGCTTTAATCGTTTGACAGGTTTGTAACATGCCAGGAGATTTCATTCTGAAAATCGAGACAACCCATTGATTGAATCCAGTTAGTAAGGATTTGTCAAGAAGATGTATCTAGATGAGTATCTGGAGAAATGTCTGGAAACTGAGTTTTCTACTTTGTAGAGGTACTTGGTGCATGCATGTACTATTGTCATAGGGATTTATGAAGATAGTAATTACGAGACTGTTGAAATTCTTCTTCCTACATAGTATTTGGTTGTAAGTCTAGGACCATTCTGGATAATCTAAAGTGGCATTGAATTGAGCAGTGATGGAATTTATGCATGTTTATTTGTCTTGGAGTAATTTCTTAGTGTAGTCTGGAGGAAAGAGTTCCTACAGAGCATCATCGCGAAAGGATGACCATATTTCATCTGGAATTATCTGATTTTTTTCAAAAAGGATTTTTTTGAATTGATCTAGTCTCAACAGGATGGTCAAACATATTATGGACGAGATCATATGGATAAGACTGATGAAATGTTACTTGATGTTGTGAAAAATATAGGCCATCGGATCTGATAGAGTGATGTCTGTGGAAAGACATGATAGATCATGCCATTTTGGTAGACATAGGACCTTTGTATTGGGCAAGCTGATGAGCAAACATAGATTTCCATTTTTCTAGGGTTTTGAACCATTTGAGAAAAGTCATCAAAAAGTATAACTCAGAGGTTGAGGATGACTGATATTGGGAAATTATTTTCAACATATGATGGATCGGGAATTGAATGGCAATGTGGTACTGGTGTAACATATACCAAAAGAACTATAATAATTCTTCTGGAAATATGATATCAAGACCTAGAGGTAAACAAAAGATTTTTGAAAAGGGGTAATCTGGATGGACACCTAACATATCAAACATGGATTGTCCACATTTTTCAATGCATTGAATTTGATAAGAAAGCATGAGGATTGTAGCATTTTCATCAATGGTATGAGTTCGAACAAGGTCATTGAATTCAGGAGGTATGTCTAGAGCATGGTTTGGTGAAGAAGATGATGAACAAGAACTGGACTAGGTTAATAGTTGGAACATGAAACAGGGAAGAGGTTTGGATCTAGGGTTCATGAAACCGACTTGTTTAGTTTTAGGTTTGGATAAATAATCTGCAATGATGTTGGTGTGACCTTTGATGTGCTGGATGATGAAGGAATATTTGCTGAACCATTCTGCCCATCAAAGTAATTATTGATGCGGAACCTTTTTCTTGTTGAATCGAAACATTTGATCAAAAGACTTCATATCCGTTTCAATAAAGAAGTAATGTCCAACAAGATGGAATTAAAACCTTTCAATGGTATTTTTTACTGCTAATACTTCCTTGAAAGTAGAATGATAATGTTGTTGATGTGGTTTGAGTTGTCCACTCTGGTATCCACACAAATGTCGTACTTTGTCATCATCTTGTTCAAAAAGCACTGTACCCCAATGAGTGTCACTAGCATCCATCTGAAGAATTCATTTTCCAGAAGAAGGAATCTTCAATGGCTATGTATGGAAGGATTTGTGTTTAAGACTCTTGATTGCATTTGTTTGCTTTTTCAGACCACGAAGGAGGATTCTTCTTAAGCATATGGGAAAGTGGAGTAGTGAGATGAGAAATGTTGGGAATAAAACTGCATATGTGATTGGCAATTCCCAAGAATTGTTGTATTTCTTTCTTGGTTGTGAGAACATCTGGGAATTTTTGCAACTCATTGGCAATATGAGCTAAAGATCATACTTGCCGTTAGCAATCACCATACCAAGAAAATCAATCTTTGTCTGCCCTAACTGGATTTTCTTCTCAGAGAGCATAATACCATAAGAGTGTATGATATTAGCAAATTCACGAAGAAGACGTATATGAGATTTCCCAGCTTTTGAAAAAAGAAGGATATCATCGACATAAATGAGACATGTATGAAGAAAGGGAGCAAAAATCTTCGTCATGGCTTTCTGAAATAGGGAAGGAGCGACCTTAAGTCCAAAAGGCATGACCGTTCACAGTTAGTGTTGGTTGGGACTGCAGAAAGCAGTCTTATGACAATCATTAGGATGAATTCCAAGTTGCCAGAATCCAGCTTTGAGATCAAATTTGGAAAATATCTTTGCATTATGGAGATTTGCAAAGAGAACTTGTCTGGAAGGCAAAGGAAATTTATCATCACAGAGAAAGAAATTCAATGGCTGATAATTGACAACAAGTCTGAGTTTTCCTCTAGCTTGTTCAGCACATTAATTGACATAAAAGGCTTCACATGCCCATTGAGAATCTGTGGGTTCGATCAATCCTTAAGATAAAAGCTGAGTACATTCTTGTTGGGCTAGGCTGGGTTTTGATCTACTCAATAAGATTGCCTTCAATCTAGAATAAATTAAGCTAAATGGTCCAGGATTAGAAAAACATCTTGTATCGAGCACCATCAAGGAGGATTCTAAGTTTATTGAGTTTAGAATAAACATCAAAACCTAGAACCATATCTTTGCCAGGTAAATCGGAACCAAGAACTTTATGAAAAGTAAAACATCCTTGAAAAATTTGGATTTTAATGGGCTTGCTAATCAGATAAGTAATGAAAGTGTCACTGTTAGCAATGTAGAAAACTTCTTGATGAGGTTTCCACTTAAAGGATGGGAGGATCTTAGGGTTGATAATAATACGAGTAGCACCAGTATCAAAAAATGCTATGATTGAAATGGGATTGGAATATTTAGTAGGGAACTTTTACTGTAGGTACATGACATGAGATGGTTAATGATAGAAGGGATTGTGGTATTTGTTGGATATGGTAGAAATAGTGACAATCATCTGAATTAGAGAACTCAGTCACCATGGCTGCAAACTGGAAAACTGTATCTGAAGTGGGTTCTTCATCCTTTGAAAACCAACTTTCAACTTCATCATCAGAAAAATCTATATCAGTGAGCTGAGAAAGCTTTTGCATCATTTTGGTTAACTATTTGGGCTTGTTTGGACAATTTTTGGCAAAATGACCAGAACGGTTGCACAAATAACACGGATTAGATCGTTTACCACTGCGTTTCTTTTTTTTCAAAGAAACTTACGGTGCTTGAAACGTCAAAATTTGTGCCTGGTAGGAGCATTAGGTGGAGAAAACTTGATGCGTCTGGAATGAAACTTCTTCTTGGTAGGACAAGAACATGAGCGATCTGATTTGCACTTGATCTGCAAGTCTGGTCTCTGACAAACCTTTGTCAGCTGCTTAGAACGCT